GTGCGTTCAGCGGACTTGAGTTCATTATCCGGTTGCTTGAACCTCAATTAAAAATAATAAATGAGCCACCGTGTTTAGTGCAGACGGGCCTTGGGGTGAAGGCTGAGCTGGCGCGTATGTTCTCCGTGCTGCGTGAGGGCACCGATGCCTGTGGCCAGAGGCTCTGATCCCGGCTGGGACACAGAGCTCGTGTCCCGCTGCCTGCAGCCGCTAAGGTCCGGCAGAAAAAACTTCACTGACGGTGTTAGCTTTGCTCTGCTTTGCCTCCCCGCTGCTTGCTCGTCCCAGCCTTTCATTTAGTTACAGTATTTTTAGCTCCCAGCCCTGTAAGTGTTGGGCAAGGTTGCTCTGCTTTGGTGAAAGCCGTTCTCTTCGCTCTCCTGCTGCGGCTGGTCCCAGGGCACGGGCCCTCTTCGCAGGAGGTGCATCGCTGCGCTTGCCTGCGGGAGTGGTACAGGCAAGCCCCGGGTGCTGCTCCCTCCTGGGCAGAGCCCCGTTGCACAGGGAAAGGGCAAACGACCAGCTCAGCTCATTCAAAGCTGGCAGTGTGGTGGGGAAGGCTCTAAAGGAGGGTGGGTTGAGACGGAGCGGAGCTTAGGGAAGGGGAGACCTCGGCTGGAAGGTCCTGAAGGATGCGGGAGCTGGTGCTGTTGTTGTTCCTGGGCTCCGGAAAAACCCGGGTTGTGAAACCTTGGGAAACGCAAGAACACTTCTGCTACGTGGCATTTGCACGCCCTGAACCTCGTTACTGTGTTTGATCTACCTTCAGTGTTTACTTTTGGTTTTTTTAATCTTTCTCTTTCCTGAAGAAGCGGCAGATCTTGGTGACAGTCATCGAAATCTGCCTGCCGCTGCTCTTCGCCGCCATCCTGATAGCGCTGCGGCACCGGGTGCACTCCATCAGCCACCCCAACGCCACCGTCTACCCCCCCCAGTCCGTGGATGACCTGCCGGGCTTCTTCTACCGCCGGCACCCCAGTAACCCCTGGGAGCTGGCGTACGTCCCCTCCAACAGCAGCGCCGTCAGGGGCATTGCCGAGGCGGTGGAAAGAGCTTTGCCCGTCAGCATCAGAGGTGGGCAGGGGCTGGGGGCTGCGGCTTCCACCCCAGAGGTCGGTACAGATTTTTACTGTGATGAATCCTGCTGCTCTGTTCCAGGGATGCGTCAATTTTAGCAGAACTTGAAGGCAATGGTTTTATTTTTGTTTCGCTAAAATGACAGGATTTTGTTTTGATTTTTGGTTGCGTTTTGTTGCAGTTTCCATCTAGAAAAATATTGCCCTAAAATAGTTAAAGAACGTGGCTGTCGCTTCCCCGAGACGAAGTATTTCTGGAAATCTTGTTACACAGAAAATTTTAGCGCTTCACGTTCCAAACTGAAGATAACGTTAGGATTTTCTCTGAAAGGAGAGCTGACTCCTGCTCTCAAGGAGGAGGAATCGTCTGGGGGCCCCGTGATGGGTGCCGCAGCATCCCACGTAAATCCCCCGTGCCCGACAGCAGCGGTGTTCCCCAGCGCTGGCTGGAGCGCGTCCCTCCTGTCCTGGACCAAAACGATGTTTTCGGTGACGGCTGGGCATCGGCCCGCGTTGGGTTGCCGTGCTCCGCGCCTGCATCTCCGTCTCTCCCCCTCCGCAGCTCAGGGCTTTGCCTCGGAGAGGGACTTCGAGGAGTACGTCA